TATCAATTTCACCATCATCACTGTCACTGTTGTCATCATCATCCATGACTCTCATTATATTTGCAATTGCACATTCAGCCGAAATTCTAGCCCTTTTTGGTGGCATAATTACTTTAGTACAAACTGATGAAAGATTCAGGAAAGTCAAACATAAAACACTTGTTGAAAAAAATTATACCATATGGCGAGCACGTTTTTTATACTAAGCCAAGATACTATGTGTTACACAAAGTGTAATGAGGGTAGACTATGAGCCTGCAGTACAGTTTTGAAAACACAAATTTTTACAAATATTTACTTTGAAAATCATGTGGATTTATTTGAATAATTTTGTACCAAATTTGATAATAAATTGGCACAGTTGTCATGGGAAAGATAATCATGCACTGTGGTATATAATATGCCTCCTGAAAGTTTGGATTTTCCTCAAAGACAAAGAGATGTTATGCCTTGAAGGTACAAAGAAATATGTGTATTTGCAATTATAAAAATATTATAAAAAAGTATTTTATATTTATAAATATTTCATACCAAACAATATTATATTACATTTTACTACTTTATATAATATATTATGGATATTTACTTTGCAAATTATGTGTAATAATCCATTTTTACATGTTCTCCAATTATAATATGCTATTTATGTCATTGGAAGTGATTAAGCCAGAAAATACTGTCATAAATCACCAACCCCCATTTTCCCATTCTCAGGCCCCGACACCTTGTTCGACAAATGTCGTCAAACGAGCCGATAACTTTGAACTTTCAGGAATTTTTTTTCTCTGTCATGACGGCAGAGGAAAAATATTAAAAGTCATAAAAGCACAGGCGAATGTGATCACTAATTCAGGAATGACGGACAAATACATATAGGGGTGCGCCCATTGGGCGCACCCCCGGTACAAATAGGGTTAACAGAATTAAAGCTATGCTGAATATTACAGTATAAACATGAAATGTTATACGTTATATCACCTGAATTTAGACGCTTATATAGACAGCGCAATTCGCTTGGACAGTTGATTTTATTGACATATATAAATATACAAGTATAATTTTATCGCCAAAGGCAAAATACCTAAAACAGAAGCTGAGTATATCATTTTTTAGCTATCCAGCTTCAGATAGACAATTTCTTTATTTTGTAT